TGTGTGTGTGTGTGTGTGTGTGTGTGTGTGTGTGTGTGTGTGGATCATCTTTTGAGATCATCTTTTCACAGGCATGAGAAAGACACACAGTGAGTCTGAGCGCATCATCGAACAAAATCCATAGTTAGATGAAAAGTCAGAGGATCACAAATTTCACAACACTCCAATTCACTCAGCAAGGAAGTGTAGTCAAAGCATAGATTTAAATCCTGTTTCAAATCCTGCACTTGCAAAAAAAAAACCCACAAAAATCTAGGAAATTAAGGAATTTGTTACTGAAGTGTGTTTCGAAACAGTGGTGGAGAGTAAATAAATACTGAAAGCATCGTCAGTCGGGGTTTCCCCAACTGTTTTCCCAGGTCTAAGCCGACCTCCTCCTGTGCAATACAAATTTATGTGTTTTGTTTCTTTTTTAGAGATACAACTATTATCTCAGCTTATACATAATGTTATCCTGGTGTTTCTGTGAACCATTTTAAAATGTAAATACGCTAAAATTACAATAAAAAGGAGTAAAAATAGAGAATAATTAACTGGACAGATGTAGCCTGTTCTCATTATTGGGATGCCAATTTAAACCACTATGTCAAAGGCACTCAGTGTTAGGTGACCCAGTGGTCACCAGACCCTGTTTGTCTACAGACGGTGACTTAGTGTGTCTATTATTTAGTTTTGTATTTCTTGCTCTAGCTCTTTGTTCTGTGATTTCTAGTTCTTCAGTTTGGTTTCTGTTCCTTTTGTTCAGCGTCAAGTCCGTGCCTCTGTGCCTGTTTTGTGTTTCCTGTTTTATTTTGATAGTCCCTGTCCAGCACACAGGGTGTCTGGTTTTGCTTCCCTTGTTTAGTTAGGTCTGATTTGTCCCAGCTGTGTTTCCCTACTGTCTCCCATTCCCTGATTGCTCCCTATGTGTATTTAAGCCCTGTGTTTGCGTTGGTGTTGTGATCTCCCTCATCCCATACTGTGTGTTCCATCAGCCTGCCTGTTTAGTTGTCTGTATTCTCAGTTTAGCCAGTTGTTTGTTTTTTTGCTATCCAGCAATAAAGCGGCATTTGAGTTCACCTTTTTGCCTCTGTGAGTCTGCACTTTGGGTCCACCATTCCTGCCTACTCCACTCAGACATGACACTCGCATGGTTCAGTTGCAAACAAGGTGTCCTTTCTGGAGTGTGCCATGATGCACTGAGTGGCCAATCACTCTCAGGGAAACTGATCGGTCACTCCTAGGTCATCACTTGTCAGTGATCAGGGTTACCGCTGTGTGTGCAGTGTGTTTTAAAGGTCCAAATGGGATGTGCACCATGGCTGCAAATTACGCCAACACAACCCCTCCAATCTCCTTATAAAGACTCCACATGTCAGCTAAATGTGGACAGTGGCATTTTTGGTGAAAACACAGCACAGTGGTGGAGGGCTTGATTTGCAGCCTGGGTACCTTCCAGTCATTCAGCAACAATGTGAGAAACTGATAAAGTCATAAAGAAAATGATGACTTCGGGTTACTGCTGCTCAAGGTGGTTTTACAAGCTGCTGAATCATTTTCACATCACTGTGAGGAAGAAACGCAGTTGGTGATTTTTCTGGAGTTTTTTGCACTTATCAGTGAGCCTCACATTGTCTTACAATGCAGTTGCAAAACCCAGACCTGCTAATTTACCACGACCTACACTAAAACCTACATTAACACTCCACATAATCTTCCAGTCTCTTCTTTCTGCTGCAGAGACTCCTTTTATTTCCTAGTACACACACTCATGTGAGAGCACACACACACACACACACACACACACACACACACACACACACACACACACACACACTTGGTTTCTTAGAGATATTTTTGGTCTTTTTCAAAAATTCATTATCAATAATTGCAACTGTTTTCATGTCACAGCTTTTACATAATAAGGGTTTATGAAACAACTTGTCTTCATTTTTATTCCCCACATCACAGTAAACGGAGGAACATCAGAAACATTAGAGAAATTATTCATTTCGTACTTTTCAACTTGTCATATTTCAGCTGTAAATATTGATAAAGTGTCCGGCAGACATTCCCACAAGACTATTCAGAAAGGATGGAGCAAGAAGCTGCTATATCATGGCTGCAGCAAAATCAATTGTTATTCATATCTGGTGCTGTAAAGCCTTAGACCGCAAGTGTCTGCTAGCTAAATGATAAATTATAAATGTTATTTGTCAATGAAGGCTTTTAAGGTCATTTATTGTTTGTGCGTCATCATCCTTAGAATAACTTAGAATAACCCCCCAAAGATTAACATCAGTCTTCTTTCTGTAAAGTATAAATTAGGAGCCAGGAGATAAATACCTTAGCTTAACGTAATGACTGAAAACAGGAGGTTACAGCATGCCTTCTTGATGTTCAGAATTATATCCTTACTCAATGCATCCATAATCAAAATCATGAAATATGCACTAATATTTAAAAAGTAAACTACAAATTGCCTCTGAAGGGAGAGACTACTGCTTATTGATTGTCTGCAAATACACACTAACTATGAGCGACATTACAACTTGAAAAAGTGCAAACCAGAATTGAAAATGTTAACTTTCAAAGTAAAAGCTGTGCCTCAGCGCTCCAGTGAACATGTTAACATGTTTAAAAGGTGCAGCTTTTACTTTGAAACTGAACCTCCTCTATTTTCGGTGTGTGTGGCACCTTTCACATTTCACAACAGCTAACAGAGTAGCTGGACAGTGTTTGTAGACAAGTCCATCACATCCATTCACACTGCAGCCGTAGCAATATGCAATATGTCAAACCCATCACAAAGAGGGTTTTGCCAACTGGTTGGGGAGTACACATTTTGCAGAGCGACAGGTGGCTGCCAAGGGTTCACCGACTGATCCAATATTGTCATCATGCTGACAAGTCAATGAAACCTAGTTAGTGGGCACAGAATCTGCAAAACCTCAAAAGAAAAGACTGTTCAATGCAGCTGGTGGATATGCAGGTTTGATATGGTGTCTTTATACAGGAACGAGGGCTCATCGTACAAAGATACCCAGAGTCAAAACACAAGTTAGAGCATAATATGTTGCTTTTACATTTCTGCTCCTTTTAAGCTTAAAAATGTCCTGTGGTAAACAGCTTAGGAATACCCAGGGTAGGTGTCCATACATACCTTAGCTAACCAGATCCCAGCTCTGGCCAAAGAAACAAACAAGCAAACAAAGAAGCAACTTTTACTTACTGTGAGCTTGGATAGATTTATTTGTTCTCTGTGGAGCAATATTAAGATTGTTATCAGATTAATCATACTCCTATTTCATGCCATGCTTTTCAATGCAAGTTTGAATTCAAGCTGGTAACTGCTACTCTTAAACAAACAGTGAATATGTCCTACCCCATCAAAGTGCCATGTTATTACTACAAGAGTCACCAAAATACTGTAAGCAGCTTGGTTCTGCAGCCTGCACTAATTGCAGTGTCCAGGATTCTCACACAGCTTTTAACTAACACATTCTTTAATGTCAAGTACATTTAACAACATGAATTAACAAGATACCTTTTCAGGGTGATCTTTTAACTTTGACTTAACTAAACTAAATTAACAAATTTGTAACTAAACAAACTTTCTTTTTGTCATGTCTGACAATGAAGCGATCACCTGTTCATATTGAACGTGTTCTCTCTAACTGGGAATATAGCTCTGTGTCAGTAGCTAGCAAAACAAAGATATCCTAATCTTTTGTTTTAGTGATCCCACTTCATCGACCTTCACATATGAATGCATGACAGGGATAAGAATCAAAATGTGAGAATGCATGTCCTTTAGGAGGATTATGGGTTGAGTGTGCACATAGTATTGACTGGAAGGCATGCCCAGCGGTAGCACATAGAAAGTGAAGCACATTTTCATCCAGGGTGTTGTGAAATCCTTCCTTGGTTATTTTGTTGAGGCACAAAAGTCTTGCTGGTTAGGTTAGCAAACGATCAAACAGACCTTGTCACAACAGCGGCATTAATGAGGGGTTATGAAATGAGTGACCCGCTCACAAAAGAGCAACGCCAGAAAAGAAATGAGCTGAAAAATAAACTCACTTAAATTACAGAGCATGAATCAACCACTCAGACTTATTTACTTATTAATAACATAGTCTTAAATAGTTCCAGCCCACTTTAACTCCTGACTGTGAGAAACAGCCATGAGTGCCACTGAAGGTGTCCCTCTCACCATATGGACGTGTTTTCATGTTGCATGTGTTGAAATCCTATTTTTCTCTACTATGATCTGGATACTGTGTGAGCTGTTGTGTTAAAGTCTCCAGCAGCACAACAACACAGAGCTGTTTGTGTAACTCAGACTTGTCTCAAACTGTCACTAACTATTGTCTCAAATCCAATTAACATAGCCAAATATAAACAAATAAATTAATGGATTTTCAATTATATTCACTGTATCAACAGGCCATTCAAAGCCACTATTGCTTTAATCATTTCTTTTCCACTCAGACTGTTTCCACATTTGGCATTTCAGCAGCACTCTGAGCTGTGTAAACCAAAAAATCTTTCTGAAACACTGCAGACTGCTTTGTTTTTGTTTTTCTCCTCTGTTGTTTGCACGTTTTTGTTTTTTTGTCACCTATAACTTTAATTTCATATGATCAATGTTTTCTTTTTTTTCTTCTCCACCTTACTCTTTTGCATGCTGTCATCGACTCTGTGTCTTGGTGCTTTATGTTTTCTGGAACAAAACAGCTTCCTGTCCCCAGATACAAAAAGGTAAGCCAATGAAATGAGCCCAGATCCCAACCAGTCCCTGCTAATCAATGCCTACTTTATCCCTCCTGCGTCCAATCCCAGTGATCCCCGACTGAAACAATCACCAACCCTGGCTCACATCCTCTGAGCTCCCTCTGATTCCGTTTCTTTGGAACAACAAATCTAATCCTGAGTGAATGTTGAATGCTTTGTCTGTATTTGGCCTGTTCTTCTGTAGATGCACACTGGTGCTTAAAGAATCAAGTCAACTAGTTAAAGGTGAACGCCTAGAAAACAAAGACAGAAGCATGTAAACCAATGTGGTGAATGACTACACTATAGTCAAAGGTCAACCAGTTTACTGACTGAAAGTAAATTCCATCTTTAAATGCAGGATGCTGTTATATAGCATGAATCTGTCACGGTCTGGCTGGCAGACTGTGGAGATGTGGGAAAGGAGGACCCAGGCGCGGAGCTCTGTGTGTAGACATTGTGTTTATTTAAGTGTAAATACTGATGCACAATTGATCCCCGTGCTCCCCAAGACTCCCGTGTGTGTCTTGTAGTGGCGTCTGTGTTCGTGCTCCCCGCTTTCGTGACTCTGCACACCCTGTGCGTGCTGTCCTTCCTCTCCACGTTCCTCCTGTAGGAAAACAATAGAGGCAGCCGTTAAACACTGACCCCGCGGGCACACACAATCTGCACCTCCTAAACGCACACTGACTTGGGAGTCTAACGCAATGATCCCGCGTCGGTGGGAGTTCCAAAACTCTCCCAAGTAGCTCCCCGACAAGCCCTGATCAGCAGCAGGTGTGTGGCTTCGGGTGTGGCCAGTCCCCTAGCAGGGCCACACCCACCAGGCCTGAAGGCGCCTGTAAACAAGAGTTCAGACACACCTGCACCCACACACACACACTCATATCTACAAAAATGGAGAAGAGGGGCAGCAACACCAAAAATACATATAATATAACCAGTCCATAACTGCTCAGGGATCCTGGGTCGCTCAGACCCAGGATCCCTGACAGAATCAGTGTTATTCACATAATTGTATCTGAGTTAGTTTTTTTTAATCTACCTTTTCTCAACTGAAGTTCTACTACTTTTCTTAAAAAGCTTATCAGTAATAGTCAATTAAGTAGCTGGCTTTGCACATCTGTAATAATCTCTACAATCAGATTGTGCATAGGAAAAATGCGCAACCTGGTTGCAACCCAAAAGGGAAGTTAGATTTATTTGAAATGCATTGGATTGGTTGTGATCTAACGATTATTTATATTTATATTCACTTTAAAAAAACAAAAAAACAAACAATGATGCTTCACACTCAGGAAAACAGTGGCTGTGACCACTTGCAACTCATTGTTGTCTTCAAAGTAACTTTAGTGCATCAAAACTGCAATAAAATGGTAATAAGACAGAGTCTGGTATCAGTTTGTGATTGAATAGGATCAAGTTGGCAATTATATGGAATCTGTTTGTGATAATGTGGCAATTAACTGATAAACTGTCAACAATTGCAACTCTGTTAGCAACTGCATACTCGGAAATTCACATTAGTCACTTAAATATTAGAGTCTGGCCAGAAACTTGTAGATTTAAAATTGAAATCTAGAAAATCCTCCACAAATAGTGAAACAGATGCTGCAGGAATCAGATTAAACTGCTTGGTGTCACAGGAGCTAGACAAGCTTGATTTTATATAGGAATGTAACCAGAGTGCAACCAGCTGAAAACCAGTGAAGTTGAGTGCTGTATGTCCTGCAGACAGCGCAGACGGACTGCAATCCTTCGCCAGTGTGTCTGAGTGTAGTCTGTACAAGTCAGGCCGATGGTTTGGTGGCAGGTTGACTCCCAACAGCCAAAGTGTGCAGTCACCTTGTGATCAAAAAGGCGTCACCCAGAGGCTGAGGATGTTGCACGCTCATTCTCTGATGGACTAGTGGGTCACCTCGACTGCCTGCAATCAGTTGCCGAATGAGAAAAAATTTAAATGCAGTTACTCGGCAACCACAGATTTTTTTTCCCTTGCCACATGGAGGTTACAGTCCCATAGATCTTAGTGTAACTGCAGTAAGGCCACATGTTTTCAGCCAGCATGACCAAACCTACGGATACGACACATAAGTTGGTGTTTTATAGTTAAACATTCAGAATATTTTCAGTGCCGTCAGTTTGCAAAGCACTTTCAAGTCACCTTAGACCATATTCCATGGCACAAATGGTTGTTGCACATTAGACAGATAGAGGGTAACCTCAAGGACTTTACTTTCAAATGAAGAAACTACTTTCAGCTGCTCCCTTAATCACAAGGATCACAAGGGATTTGTGTGTCTTCCCAGGATCAAACCAGGGATGTTTCGTATGCCAGGAAAATGTGTACACTACCACACTTTGAGACACCTTGCAACATGAAGAGAAAGTAAAGTTTGCTCAGTGATGGTAACAACTGGTCAATCTGATTCACATACAGCAGTCAATGATTGACGTCGCTTCAGCTACTGAAGTGGACAAAAGTCAAAGTCATCTGCACGGTCCTTAATAATACTGTTTGTGGCAAAAATCACACATGAACTGCTTTATTTTTTCTCCTAAAATCAATGATGTGTTATCAAGGACATGACTGGCATGGGTGACCTTGTAACATGCCTCTGCCATTCTCCTCTGTAAGCCGCTCGATTGTCACCGTTGGCTACCGTTGGCGCCTCCGTTGACCTCAAGTGGCCCTTGAAGCATTAACCCCCTTCTTTAACATGACTTTGGTTTAGCCCCCCAAGGATTCAATCAATGCTTCTCTCCCATCCATTCTGTTATCTGCTGCTCCTGGTGATTGATGCTTCCTCCACCTGCGTGTTAGCAGGCCAGTCAGATATGGTAATGAAGACATATGCCCCGGTGATGAAGAGGCTGATAGCACTGCAGAAAAACAAGCAGCCATGTGGGACATACAGCTTGGAGAATACACACTCAAAATAGACGTATGTTCTTAGTTCTTAGGCGTCATACAAAAAAGATGAAACTGACTTGTTGGATCACAACATCAGTGACAGGGGATTGTTATTTTATTAGCTATTTACCAGACTTATCAAAATCAGTTTTAGCGAATGTGCTTAAAATGTCAGTGATGTCTGCAAAGACAAAAAAAACCTGCATTAAACTCACAATGATTCTCCAACTGTTTTTTATTTTTGACTTCTTCGACTTATTTATATATTCCCACACATCAGCAATAACCTTTCACACCAAGACAACACAAATAAGACTTAAGTTTTAATGCTTTCTTTTTGTTTAGGTAGGTTTGCACTAAGTTTTGGTTTCACTGTCATGTAATAACAAAAACGCCAAAGCTAAAGAAAGTGAAATGATTACATCTCTAGCTAGTGTTTGCGCTCAAATTTAACACATACTGTACTGTGCAGAAGTCTTGTATTAGCTCTTATATTTTGCTAGAATTGCACTTCTGTGCTGACATCATTTGCCAGGCATGTATGTTGCTGTTTGAATATAAAAGTAACTCAGACTCGTTGGTGTAAATTTACAGTAGATCTAAAGTCTAAGGAGCTTGGAAAGAAAAGCGTCTGGACTTCTTTAAGTTGCTTGAAGACGTTTCACCTCTCATCCGAGAAGCTTCTTCAGTTCTAGTGTCAAATGGTGGAGAGTCCCAGATTTAAACCCTGTGGAAGTTTCCCCCAAGAGGGACAAAAGGACCCCTTAATGATCCTCTACCTAATCACATGAGCCAAGGTGTGAAAACGGGTGTAGGTCACAATCAGCCAAGGTTTCGGGTGAGCTCGTGCAACCTAGCCCCACCCTATCATGTGATTTCCTGAGTGGGCGATAAGGCGTCTGGGAAGGGATCTCAAAACTGGATTATAGATGGCAGACGGTGGGTGGGGGTGGATTCCCATTCATTTTCTATGGCGGTCACTTTTGACTGGGAACACCACAGATGTAACAAAGTTGATTAAAACACTCAAAATTTAACAAAAGAGGTGCTCACCACTTTTATATGTTCAAGTGTGTAGTGTTGAGGATGTCATAAGGTCTCGAGGCAATTGGATGTAAAACACAATATTTATGAGTTTTTAAAGTTGTAAATCGGTCAGTTTTGACCTGAACACGACAGGAAGGTGCAGCTATGTACACACATCTTATTTAAAGTCCACACTCTTTTCTTTTCATTCAGATGTTTTTCACAAATGCCAAGCACGACTTCTTCTGAACACAGATGCTAATGATCTCACCCAAAGGAACTCGACTTCATTTAAAATCATTTAAGGCTGTTGTTCAGGAGGGCTGTTATGAATGAGTGTGAGATGGGAGGTGTGTGGATACACTCCCATCTGCCTTTCGCAGTGGTCATTTTTCTCCAACCCCTCAGTAATTATGATCAACCGAGTATTCACAGCGTGCTCGCGCAATCAGCAGCATGATGCAGCTGTCTGTTTATCCCGGTCCAACCCCACAAAACATGCCTGAGCTCACTGACGGTTCAGGTGTTGAAGACAACAATAGAAGCAGATGAAGATGGCACGTCAGCCTCTCCAATCAGCTTTCGCTGTGCCATCTTAATAACTTGTTTTTGCAGGAAACACGGTTTAAAAGTGGGGCTAAATATCAGCAAGAGATTCCAACATCCAGTGACGCATATAATGATAGAAAATGAAAAGCAGTGAAGTGGAAGTTTCAAGGGAGGTTACAATTTTAGAGGCCGTTAAGCTTTAAGCTGGTTTCTGTTTCTACTTTTTGCACATACATAAAAGAAAAACTTTACAGTGTTTTTATTTCAAATCAAGCTTTTTTCTTCAGTGCTGACTATTTTACACGCATAGTTCACTCAGGCCTCTTTGGCTGAAGGAAGAGAAAATAAAAAGGAAGATTGAGGAGAGGGGATCACGGCTCGGTCACAGCAGAGACTTGTGGTTGTTTCGTGTTGCCTTTTTCTGTAGGCAGCATTTTTTCTGTACATCTCAGCTTTTCCTTGCATTTGCATGGAGCATTATCTCTGCTATCTAAATGCA